TGAAATTAATAACTGGGGATGTCTAATTCTGAAATCCTGTGTGTTTGGGTTGTTATAGATACTGCAACATCTATCTATCATCTATCTATCTAGATGTATACTCTGTGTGTGACATAAAATATGGATCTCCATCCCTGCCACAAAGGCCATCAAATAATGTTTAAAATAAAAAATACAGTAGGTTGAAAAGGCAGAGTATCCATCCATCCATATAGGCTATCATTTGATCGTTCATGCTCTCCATAGTTCTCCTGTGGCGCGAGCACAGGGCGAATGTTGCGCGCCTTTAGCGAGCATGCGCGTTTCCTGTCGCTTGTGCGGTGAATCGTGCCGCCTGCGTATGTGGAAAACGCTGTTTTGCTGCTGGAGTCCTCCTCACTCTCCATCTCGCTGTGTGTGCTGTACGTTAACACCCGCCAGCGGAAACACCCACCAACCCAACTGACAGACGGAATCTCACTATACATCAGCCATTCTCCCCTCTCTCATGACAAGGCGCGCACAAGTCCTATCATGAAAAAAATGTTCATTGTGCGACCTGAGTAACGCGCAGTAACGGGGTGTCTGCAATTAAAACTGCGTTATAGTTACAGTCAAAGTAATTAGTAAGATTACTCGTTACTTTGAACGCCGTTAGTCCCATCACTGCATGTAGGACAGTGTTCACCATCCTTTTTTTGTACCGTGTACCCCTTTTGGGCATTCTTCTTACCATGTGTACCCCCCTCAGCCAAAAGTAATGACTGTCCAAAAGTGGAATGCACAATGACTAATTATAAAATAAAGAGTACTTTAATTTAAACTTTTTAACTTGAGCGTTTAGTTCTTTGGCATTTTATTCTTCCTATCTCAAATTAAAACAACAACATTAATATGTTGCTCAGAAGTTAGTAAAGAATCAAAATACAGTAAATACTAAATAAAATCATGCTATAATTCTGCCTTTATACAACAGGAGCTCTTCTGAGTAACTCCCCTACGATCACATTTAAACTGGAGGATTTCAGAACAAAATACTGAACAAAAAATATAGTCAGAAGGACTCCGTTTATTTTACATAGTTTTCAGCATTCATGACACTTAAGCTTACTTTGATCAGGTGTGGGAAAACAGCTGATGCAAGGCTGTTTGCTACATGCAGTCTGTTCCTCTGCTTGGTTTTGAAGTTTGTTAAAGCTGAAGGTGTATTCAAACAAACAAGAATAATGTACTTTTTGTCAAAAAAAAGCTTGTGTAATTTTTTCCGGTGCGTCCTAGCAAAGCAGAATAGATCCAAGCCCTACTTTTTAATTTACCGGTATTACCTGAAAAATTATATATTGTCATGTGGCTCTTGCAATTCACTCACTGACCACTAGGCTGTAAGAGATGATCAGCTAAGAAGATACATTGTTGTGATGCCAGCAGCTGTCTGCAAACTTTACAGAAGAGGTGTGTTTTTATTAAAATATCAACATGCACACAAATACCCTGTTTACTAATCCTGTGATTACTGGGGATAAATTATTACATTTGTATTTCTTAAGGTGGTATTCAAGTTAAGGGAAATCATTACAAATGCTTTTTTGTAAAACAACTCAAAACAAGCACTCTTTACCTTCCAATAAAGTTAAAAGGTAAGTTAAAGTGTCTTTTCACAAAAAAAANAAAAAAAAAATAAAAAAAAAAAAAAGTTTACTTCAGAAAACATGCAAAGCAAAAAAGCTGTCTAAAATTTTAAATGAAATATTGTGGTGCATTAGTAGAAATATTGTGGTGCATTTATGCAATTAAAGGAATTTTATTTATGCTTTTTAAAATAAAAATCCTTTAATTGCATACAAGAAAATCTAATTTCTTGAAATTTCTGGATTTTTATTTATTTTTTTTTTCGATAAACTATTCTAAAGGGCAGTAATTTTTTTTAAAAACACAAAGTCTTTCTACATGGTCATTTATTAATCTAATAATGAATTTGTCATTGCCTGGAGCACCGACTGAGTTCATATAAAGGAGGTGCTGGTTTTGACTGAGAAAGTAAACAAGCCTTATCCACAGATATGTTTTTATTACGAGGCTGTACCTAGCAACTGCCATATAACCAAATTCACTTTATATGTTTACATATGTTTTGTGTGGTTGTTTTTTTCCCCCCCTTCAGAGTAACCCCGACAGCCCTTACAACCTGGCCTATAAGTACAACTTTCAGTACGCTGTGGTCTTCAACATCGTGTTGTGGCTGATGATCGCTCTGGCCCTCGCCGTCATCGCCATTTCTTACAACCTGTGGAATATGGACCCAGGATATGACAGCATCATCTACAGGATGACCAATCAGAAGATCAGAATGGACTGAGACGTGTTGTTGTCTCCTCCTGCTGCTTCCTTAGTGTTCTTCAGTGGATGTTTGTGTTTGCGTGAGGTCTGGTGTAATTAAAAATATCTAATTATCTGTGGTGGCTGAATGAGAAGAAGAGCACAGTACTGAATCACCTTTGAGTTTACAGCACTGATATCATAAAATGGTAATATGAAACGATAACAGAGGAAGTTATGTCAGCATTATCTTAGGATCAACATCATCCTCTAGAATGTGAACTGAATACATCTGGCCTTCCTCTTTTCACCTTCACAGCTCAAATCATTCCTTCCTTTAAATGCTAAAATCTTTTCTCCCTGATGATTGCACGTGTATTTTCTTTATTGTAAAAATGTGTTAAGAAATTAGATTAGTCTGGTTTCTTTTTGTGTTTAGCTGTATGAAAGTGTTAAAGGTTTAAGTTAAAGAGAAGTCTATATGTATATATTGAATATTACAAATACGTGAGAACCTGTGGTGGTGTTTTGTGTGCTTCGTCTCTAAATAACAGGCTGGACTGTGTTGAAGAAAAAAAACATGCATCCCATATGTTTGCTGTTGCAATTCTATAAGAGGTCTGTGAACTGCAATAATTGCTCAAAAATAAATTATTACATGTATCAACTTGTTGTGAATTTAATGTAGCAGTTAAGCAATTATGAAATAAAAATGATTTTCGGTATTACATTTTTACAAATGCACTTCGGGGCCTGCAAACATTTGAGAAAAAAAAAAGCATTTGTAAATGAGTATCTGTAGATCTATAAAAACTTCACTAGAAAATTGAATTGAAATGAGCAACACAAGGATTAAGATCTGTTTCCAAATATGCATCAAGTAAAAGCATTTATTTATTTGGTCTGAAATCAATTGTACAGACATTAAAACCGGATATAATTAAAACCCCAGACATATTTATAAACATGAGGTTGGTGGTTAGCCATGTGTCTTTTTTATCATCTGGTAACATTTCTCATGTCCTCTTGCCTTTTACATGATGCTTGCTCAGTGTTATTGAACATCTTGTTGGAATTTTTATTTATTATTACCCAAACAGTGCTTTTAAGTCATAATTTTGGCTACTGATGTAACAGCAAGAACATCAGGCCTGCTCAGCCTCTGGATGCAGAGGTTGGTGAGCCGGCCCTCACACGCTGCAGTACATGAATGTAGGCCTTTCTCACAGGAAACACGTTGATGAACCACACACACTTTCAGTTCTATCAACCTAAATGCCCTATTTACTTTCGGTAAAGCCACATCACATCAAAAAGGAAAAAAACAATCCCCACCCCTGATGTCAACAGTTGCACTTGTTTTCAAAATGTCTTCTGTGAAAAAGGCCATCTAATGGGACATCTAATGGGACATTCTGTGCTAGACACTGGGAACTGAACAACTGGAAAGTATTTAGCTTTTAGATTTTTGTCAAAAATAACATCAACCATCTTATTTGTGTATTTATCTAATTATTACAGTTCTATCAAACCTATCAAATATACATCTGATATTTCAAAATGGAGTTGACCACAGTTCCAGTGTCCAGACAGAAATTTAACGTCAGGAGCCACAGTTTTGCACAGCTGGCCCTGAGGAAGTCCCTGCTGCTGCTGCTCCTACGCCGACATCTTCATCATGTTTTGGGTTCAGGGCAACAGTTGAAGAAGATTTCATCGACTTCCGGTCGGATTTCTTTTGAGCTACAAGAGAAAGATAAGTAAGAGATGACATATCTTTAAAGACCAGGAGATGTAAAGGAGAGAATAAAACAAAAACATCTCTTGCATCAATCGCACAGGTATGTTAAAAAAAAAAAATGCTATATTAGGAATTAACCAACTTCCAAAAGGTTCATTTAATGGAAACATATATACCAAAGGTTAAATAATCAGTATGACATGTTATTTTCTTACCTTTTGCACTACATGGTGTTTGGATGGGTTTTTCCTCTTGCTCGCCGTCAGCGACAGAGGCCCTGATCTTCCTCACCACGTAGGCGCAAGCTGAGAATGTAAGAGTCCAACATTCTTTATTCATTTTTATTTCTCTTTCTAAATGTATTTATTTAACCCTTAATTTAGACAGGAACATTTCTTTAGACCTAGCGTCTCATTTACAAGAGAGGCCTTTCACACAAAAGATCATAGTTAACAGCATAAAAAAAAACAGTAATGGTACAGAATACGTACATCATTCAGATAACTCAAAATTTTTACTGGCAAAAAATATACACAATAAATATGACGGTAAAGCTTTAAATGATGATTTATTGAAATATGTTTCTTTTATTGTAGGTCTAGTGCAATTTTTTTTTAATGCAGTCTGATTGCATTTTTTTAAACACAAATCAAATCACATGAGCAACAGGAAAACAATGTTCACCATTGTTCAAGATGACAGAAAAAGCTGAGTCATTCTATGTATATTTTAACAACAGATGGTTAAAAAACAAAAACAAACTGATAGCTATTTGTAAACAAGACATAATGATATAAAACAAATAAAATACAATTACAACACATCTATAAACTAAAATTAAAAACAAAAATAAACCCAAACGACTCTTAAAATGAGCGAATGTTAAACTGAGAAGCAATAAGATAAGATCTAGGAGCTGGTAAAGCTAAGGGGCACTTCCTTGTTTTATTATCTGTACAGCTGAACCCTACACCTGAAGATTTACTGACTTCATCTACGTTAGGCCAGATACAATAATATGAAAATAAAATTAATTCTAGTATCTAAATAATATTTAAAAGGGTATAGATAGATGTTTTTTAACAAGAAAAATATATATTTATATAATTTCACTACCTTTCTATTAAGTGTGGTCGTTATACAATTTTTAAACTTGAATAAATAAGCAGTTTTTACCTTTTACCAACAGTCACACCATTCGTCAGAGCTGCTATAGTTTGCAGTTTCGATAAACTTGTAAATCGCAGTTATCCGGCTTGTTTCCCTCTGTAAGGACAGCTGTTTTCTAATGTCGACTTCCTGTATCTCTGAGGATTAATAGATTGTTATAGAAGAAATATAACCAATCACAGACTGAGAGCAATACAGAGGCGGGGCTTGGTCAATTGTGATTGGCTGAGCCGTTACGCAACGTAAAACAAAGTCAACCTCATTTAAAGAGATACGCTTGTAATACGGAGATACATAATCAGGATTGTTGACTTTATGGAAGTCAAATAAGCGATTACACAAGTTCCATCTGGTATCTAGCTCTATTGATTACTGATGTATCTCAATAATATAATATTACCATACAATTTTTTTATTACATTCTAAGTGTTTATTTCTGAAACGCTTGATGACTGTGAACAGTGGCGGTTCTAGGAAGAGTTTACAAGCAGAGCAAGGGTGGGGCCAGTTTATTTATTTATTTTTTAATGGGGACGCTGAACAAAAGAAAGACAAACAAACAGAGCAAGAGCACCATTTTTTGTATTGAATCGCTAAGCTAAGGATGCAAAATCCTCATCAAACAGAAGAGAACATTGATCCTGGAGCTTAGACTTTGACAACTTTTATTTTCATTTTGTATGCACGGTGTGTGTACAAAGTGACAATGCAAGCTTAAAGCTTACTGCAATTTCTAAGGTTAAAGTAAATTTAAAGGGACAAAATATTAAAACTTGTCAAAGGGATGATTTAGTAATGCGGTCTTCTGTCAGCATATATAATGATAATTAATTTATTTAGTATTAAACTACAAAAACAGATCTAAAACATTACAAAAAGTCTAGCTGCCTTTAATTTGAGGTTGTAATTATGATAGGCTGTTAAAATAATTTGTATTTTGTTATTAAAAAATTAGATAAAAGTTATGCACTTGAAATAAGTTCAAGGATAATTTTTTTTCCATTTTAAATGTAAATAATCTTATTCCATTGGCAAATTATCTAACCTCAATTTCAGTATTTTCTGATGAAGTCAAGCAAAAATAAACATATTTTAGAGATAAATGTATGTACAAATGTAAGTTATATGTTGAATATTTCAAGTTTTGTAGAGTGGTTTTCAGCACAGGGGCCATGCCAGCAACCGGGGCCAGTCTATTATCGCCCATTATTATAAATACTGCACACATTTTAAGTTTCACTTAAATACCAATAACTGTTCCCTATAAAAAGGACTTGGTTCCTACGTATATTGGAAAGGTACCAATAGTCTGCTTTGATGCTTAAATGGCCAACAAACTCATCTGACCTAAATCCCACAGAAAAAACCCACAGTGTGGTATGGTCAGGAAGAAGACAAGCTTATAGTTCCTAATAAGGCAACATGTGCTTTAAAACACCTCAGTGTGGCCGAATGCATGATTGTCTTCAACCGCTGATGCTACAATTCATACTAAAAATAATCACAAACAAGAAAATGCTGAAGTTACATCCCTCTGTAAAGTATAGTTGAATTGTAACAACTTAACATTTTCAATTAAATTCTATCATATTAACATGAACCTTGATTTTTATGTAGATGTTTAGCAGAAAGAGATCATGAATGTTGGTCTGCAACTAACACTTATTTTGCGAATTAATTTAGTTAAGTTCAATTAAGTTTCTTTTTTTTGTTGTTGATAATCAGATAGCTAAAGGTTACGTAAAGAAGACTTTATACAAAGTTAAACCAGGTGAAACAAAAAGGTTTCCAATTGAGGAGCTCCGGATAGAGCGTATTGGCAAAATTCTTTTTACAATTTTGTCATAATTACTGCTCTAAGTGGGTTGTTCTTTCACCTAAAGGTAGTTTTACAGCCTCTATACTCCAGTTAATCGATTACTGAATTAGTTGGCGATAATTTCTATAATAGATTAATCCGATTGTTTCAACCATAGATTAATGCTTTTTTTTTTCTCAAATGTTTGCAGGCCCCGAAGTGCATTTGTAAAAATGTAATACCGAAAATCATTTTTATTTCATAATTGCTTAACTGCTACATTAAATTCACAACAAGTTGATACATGTAATAATTTATTTTTGAGCAATTATTGCAGTTCACAGACCTCTTATAGAATTGCAACAGCAAACATATGGGATGCATGTTTTTTTTCTTCAACACAGTCCAGCCTGTTATTTAGAGACGAAGCACACAAAACACCACCACAGGTTCTCACGTATTTGTAATATTCAATATATACATATAGACTTCTCTTTAACTTAAACCTTTAACACTTTCATACAGCTAAACACAAAAAGAAACCAGACTAATCTAATTTCTTAACACATTTTTACAATAAAGAAAATACACGTGCAATCATCAGGGAGAAAAGATTTTAGCATTTAAAGGAAGGAATGATTTGAGCTGTGAAGGTGAAAAGAGGAAGGCCAGATGTATTCAGTTCACATTCTAGAGGATGATGTTGATCCTAAGATAATGCTGACATAACTTCCTCTGTTATCGTTTCATATTACCATTTTATGATATCAGTGCTGTAAACTCAAAGGTGATTCAGTACTGTGCTCTTCTTCTCATTCAGCCACCACAGATAATTAGATATTTTTAATTACACCAGACCTCACGCAAACACAAACATCCACTGAAGAACACTAAGGAAGCAGCAGGAGGAGACAACAACACGTCTCAGTCCATTCTGATCTTCTGATTGGTCATCCTGTAGATGATGCTGTCATATCCTGGGTCCATATTCCACAGGTTGTAAGAAATGGCGATGACGGCGAGGGCCAGAGCGATCATCAGCCACAACACGATGTTGAAGACCACAGCGTACTGAAAGTTGTACTTATAGGCCAGGTTGTAAGGGCTGTCGGGGTTACTCTGAAGGGGGGGAAAAAAACAACCACACAAAACATATGTAAACATATAAAGTGAATTTGGTTATATGGCAGTTGCTAGGTACAGCCTCGTAATAAAAACATATCTGTGGATAAGGCTTGTTTACTTTCTCAGTCAAAACCAGCACCTCCTTTATATGAACTCAGTCGGTGCTCCAGGCAATGACAAATTCATTATTAGATTAATAAATGACCATGTAGAAAGACTTTGTGTTTTTAAAAAAAATTACTGCCCTTTAGAATAGTTTATCGAAAAAAAAAATAAATAAAAATCCAGAAATTTCAAGAAATTAGATTTTCTTGTATGCAATTAAAGGATTTTTATTTTAAAAAGCATAAATAAAATTCCTTTAATTGCATAAATGCACCACAATATTTCTACTAATGCACCACAATATTTCATTTAAAATTTTAGACAGCTTTTTTGCTTTGCATGTTTTCTGAAGTAAACTTTTTTTTTTTTTTATTTTTTTTTTAAGTCTGATGTTATAAATTGTTCAGTGTTTTTTTCTTAATAAAAACAGAACATTTCTGCTGTCACAAAACACATATGATAAAACACTTTATTAGAAGTTTAAGTTTGGGTCCTTTCAGACTTACAATCTGCTTCGATTGCAGGATTGAACGAGATTTTCTGGTCAAAGGAGCTTCAAAGGTTTTCACAGTAACAACCTCCACCACAGCCCGGTTACCATAGAGCCGATACATGTCTTCTCCAAACTGGGATAAAAAAAGACAATGGTAACGCTGAAATAAATTTGAGATAATGCGATGGTTGTTTCAATACCTCAGATCTCCCTCTTACCTTCTGGAGCACAGTAGCAAGAATGGCTGTGGCATCGCGGTACTGAGGAGAGTCTTTGCCGTAAAGGCGACTGAGCTCCTCCAAACCAGACAGCTCCAGAGAATACAGGTCAGGGGAGAAGTCCTTGGCCAAATGCCTGTGCCTCTGGAGCTTTAAGAGGGGATAATCTAAATCAAACCTGATGAACTAAAGTCATTACTAGGAGAGAAAGAGGGTCTGTGACATCTATGGTAACTCACCAGAGCAGTGATATCATGCAGAACTTGAACCTCGGACAGGAAGAGCAAATCAGCCTGCAAAAGAAAACAAGAGAGAAAAAATTATAGTATGAGGTAAAAACTCTTTTTCAAGTTCATATAACATTTTTTGCACAATCTGACAACATTCAACAAGGCAGATGACGTGACTTTGAATTTTAGGCACTAACTTCTGAATTTCTGCTCAGGGAGTTAAGAGGGAGAGAGGTCAGTACAGAGCCGTCCTGGGAGAGGCGAGCACGGATCTGCTGTAAGGTCACTGGGAGGTCCTCAAACACAGCATTAGCTTTACCAAGCATGTACAGACGCTGAAAAAGACAAAACAAGGTTCAACATCATTTTAAAAAGCATATTTACATGTATTTGTTGTTCTGTTCTTGTTAAGTTGTTTATTTTTTTATTACCTCCTCACTTGGGGCTAGTTGTAGAACTACAGGGGTGTACTCGGAAAACAGAGAGTGGACCGTCTCTGCAACGCTGTCCAGTGTGAAGGGTACTGGCTAGTAAAGGACAAGCCCAACAGCACACTGAGTAAATGTATTCTCATTAGATGGTAGGCTTTGATCTGGTGAACTTACATTTTCCAGGGGATAAGAGGCTACAGCCTGAGGCAAAGCAAGGCTGTCGACTCCTCTAACCACCACTAAAACATTAGCCCGGGGACGCTGGAACAATGGGCCAGCCTGGAGGCCAGGCCATAGCAGATCCTGCGGAAACAGAGCGTCACCATATTTGTTAGACATATGTTGAGATAACATGTCTGTAGCCTAACAACACAAAGCCTAACCAATATTTTTTTCTTTATAAATAAGGAGATACCTCTTGAACAGAGAAGCCCATGGTCAGAGCCACCACATCAGGGACTTTTTCTCCAGAAACTGGCCAGTCACCTTTCTGGAATGACACAAACTCTGGAGCTTGAAGGACTGTAAAGCTGTCACCACTGACACCTGGAGAACAGAGAGGGGCTTGTCAACCTAAGCAAAACCAGATTTCTTAAAAACAAGGTTTTCAGAAACTAATAAAGCTTACTTCAATGTTAGTTGATACTTTGATCTCATTGCAAAATACTACAAAGCTTTAAGTGAGATTTACTACTGCGTTAAGAATTGTTATCATGCTTTGTAAATGCTCTAAGATTTGCACAGATTTTAAGGTAAAATAAAATCAGATAAAAAAGGGATACATCCGTAGCAGTTTGTCAGAAAACCAAAACGCGTTGGAGAGTCTCCATTTTTAGACAACAAAATTAACATTTTGTAATTCATCACTGAATAAATAAAGTCCTTCCAATGAACACAACATCATGATCAGAAATGGGGTCTAAACTATTCGTTTTGCTCTTGCTTCAGGATTTCTACCCAGAATTTAAAATCTTTAACTTCTCCATATTTCCATGCTTGAACCAGGATTTGTAGGGCATTTTTTTGAGAAGTGAGAAGCTGCAGTGATGCCGTTTCAGAGACACATGAACAGGTAACATGATTTCAGAGATATATAGGTTTCTTAAAAAATAAAAAGGAGGGTTAGGAAAATAACACAGATTATTTACTTGTAATATTCAAGCAAAAAAAAAAAAAAAAAAGAAATACAGAATTCAAATGAAAAACTGACTTAATATTATGAATAAATACCATTTTCTAAACTTTTTTGCATTTACAATGCACTCATATGCAGATTTCAAGTCATGTTTTTGATCAATTAAAGTATTTTTGTGTTATTTATTAATTTTTTTTATGCATTCTTAATTGTTTCAGAAGTTCTCCATATATCTGAAGACCTGCATGCTAAAACAGGTTTACCGATTAGGTTTGCATGGAAATAACTCACAAAATTACACATGGGCTGAAATTATTCAAGTAGAGATAGACCAAATTTATTTATTTTTATAAGGCTGATATCAAACGGGTTAGTTTAATATATTATGTTGTGGTGATTTTTTCTTTTTAGGCCGGAATACCCATTTCTCTGTCCATTGATATGATAAAAAACACTCAATTATATATATATATATAAAAACAGGTGACATACGTCTCAGTTTATTTATAAAAAATTTTTTCAGATAAAATTTACTACCAATAAATCAATAACCTAAAATGGACAGCAAGGTCTTAAGGCATGGATGCTGAGGGCACTGATGGATCAGTAAACATTGGCTGAGACAAGATTACAAACCTACAAATATCAAGGGATCAGCTGATATTAGTCTATCTCTGCTTTAGAGAAACGGTGCTGGAGACAAACAGCACACTTTTCAGATATGCTATTTGTTCTTTTATATGTGAAAACCTTAATATTTCCCTTTAACTTCATAATATCTTTGTAATAGCCTACCAGATTAACACCAAATATAAAGAAATTTAGAGTTTTTGATTGTAACGAGAGGAAAAAAATATACAAGTAAAAAAACCTCTGAAAGCTCTGAAAGTTTGCAGCCTAATGTGAAATCTTGGTACAAAGACGTGAGTAAAACTCAGATGGAGAAATAAACTCGTGACATGGAGCAGCAGCAAAGATGGAAGCTGAGCGGAACTAATGGGTCACATGACAGCACCCGCAAATTAGCAATAACCAGAAACTAAAAAAAAACAAACAAAAAAACACAGTATTGGCAATAACTTACATACATTCAATTGGACACAATTGTAATCTCAAAAGGGAAAAACAGACACATTTTAATATATTTACTATAGCATTTAGCAAAATGCGACAGCAAAACCTTCTCTGGATGCGTTGTGAAGCCGTAGCTAAATAATCTGCTAAAAGCTCTAGCATTTAGATGACCTGCATTACAATTTAATTGTAACTGTTAGATAAGGACAGGGAAAACTGAAAAAGCTAAATGCTAATGCTAACTATGACTGTGGACGCGATCTGTCAGATGAGCCCACACTGGAGGCCGAAGCGCTAGAAATAAACCTGTTCTTGAAACTATGAATAACAAATGATTATCACTGGACGCTTCCTACCTGCTGCGAAAAGACAGCAAAGGGCTAACGTCAAGGTAAAACAAGCCTTCATCCTTCGGCAGGTTGTCACCGACATTTCTCACCGAGGAACTGCAAGGGTCAGCTGACCTGACGTCATGGCACCGCAGTGCATAATGGGAGCGTTTGTAGTTTGTACTATTCTTCTCGATTTCCGGCAGTCCCATGCACAATTAGCGCATTGCTGCCCTCTTCAGGTCACACGATATAAAGCATCAATTAAAGCTTCATTGGGATATAAAGGGGAAGGTAAATCAATCATTAAAAAGAAAGAAACAGAATTTTGGCAAAAGATATGGGATGAAGATAAGAAAGGAAGAAGATTATATAGGGTTCAAAAATCTGTAATTGTACAAAAATTGTGGAGAAAGAAACAGAAGGGAAGAGATAATTTATACTAGATTAAGAACTGGACACACCTACTTGAATGAGTTTTTGTTTGTACTAGGGAAGAGAAATAATGATTTATGTGAGGGTTGTGAAAGAAAAGAAAATGTGGATCATGTTTTGATGTATTGCATTAAATATGCACCTGGAAGAGAGAGGATGAGTAATTATGGAAAAGGGGAGAGATTGGAGTATTAAATGAATTTTAGTGACAGATGGAGATAGGGAAGAAAATGTGGTTATTTATAAAGCATTGTTTTTATAATTACATAACACAAAAATAAAAAATAGAATATAGTAGGTGGAATTATGAGCTACATACTCATGTACAGTAGGTGGCGGTACGCACCTCTAAGCTGTTTGCAATCCACCATTCAACATAGAAGTAGAACAATTCATTGGGGTATAGATAACAATATAATCCTCATTTTAAATTAAAATAAACCAACTTTGGATCTCTCTTTTGGTTGAAGCTGTGTA